AAAAAATTAAATAGATAATATATCTCTATCTTAATATATATTATATATCTCACTAATCTAACTATATATAGCACTTGTTAGTATATAAGATCTAAAAATAGCAGCGCGAAATATTTAGTTAGAATCTAGAAAAATTACTTCTCGAACTTTAGCATGTTTTGTAGCCAGGAATAAGCTTACTAAGCATTACGTAATATAGTCATTATAAACTACTTGATATCTAGTTTTCAATGGACTAACCCGTTTAAGTATAGGTGCTCTATAAGCTGAGTTATCATCTTTTAAAAACTATTACTTTTTTAACTACGTTTTTTTTTGTCACCCCCCTGTATTTTTTTTCTTTTTAATCCTTCAAATAGCGTCGTAGATAGATTTTAGTTTTTTTTTAAGAATAATTTGCAATAGATTAGATTGGGATTTTAGCTTGCAAAAAACAGTTAATTAGACTAGCAAATGGGTGGGGGTTAGGTCATGGTTGGGTTGCTAAGAGTTCGGGTATAGTTAGGGTTAGGGTCTTATATAATTAATACCCTAACCTAACCTCTACCTAAAGTCTTAGTAACCTAACTATGACCTAACCCAACTCTTGGCAATAGAGTCGGGTAGGGTTATAGTTAGGTTAGATTAATACTAGGTAGAGGTATGGTTAGGTCGCACAGACCCTAGGTAGGATAGAGTTAGCTATCTATATTTTATACTATAGTTAGATGTTTTATAAGTATACCTAATTAGGTACCTGTAACCTAACTCTAACTTAGAGTCCGTGCGGCCTAACTATAACTATTACCTAAGCGCTTAGTAACTTAACCTAACCTATACCCGAACTAATTTAACCTAACTCTACCCTAATATAAAGTCTATATAACCTAACCTAAACCCAATCTAAAAGGCTTAGTAACTGAACCTAACCTATACCCAAGGCCCGTGCGACCACAACCTAACCTCTACCTAACACTATAGTAGAGGGTACCCATTTGCCAGCCTACAGTTAATTTCAGCTTTAAACTTAGAAAATTTCGAATATATAGTAGAGATATAGAAGAAAAGAAGGTGTATAGTAAGAAGATATTAATGTATACTATAATATTACTAATAAATTAGTCAGATATAGCTTACGTAATCAACCTGTTGAATTATAAACCTTTAGCTATTAAAAGATATATATTAGCTATATCTAACTAAGTTATATATATATAAAGCTTATATAGTCTAGTATACCATATATAGAAACTATGTTATAACATCTATTAAATGAAAAGAGATTTCTATTTTTAGTTCTTAGTTTTTTTTCTCTTATTTATTGGTTTATTTTAGCTAATAAAATGATTGACCTACAGTCACGTGACTATCCTATACTAAACTAGGACATCTTGGCTTTAAAATGCATCAACCCGTTTTAGGATAGCTTTTCTAGTCATTAAGTTATAAACGTTTGAAAATAATAACTTTTTGGATTTGAACTTTTTTTTGTCATCCCAGTATAATTAAATCCGACCCATTCTTATACCAATTGTATTCTAGTCCTGCCATCAGAGGCGCTCCTACTATCTCTAATATCTAATCCTCCTGTGATGTTCTGGTATCACATGGTAGGTCTGCTATTACTAATGGTACATCTTAGCGTGATAGCATATCACGTGACCGCCCCGTAGAGGTCCTTACCTTCTGACGTATTACCTTATAGTCTCCTACCTACGGCCGTCGTTAAGAAGAGATCCTTTATCTTATTACTTATAACATTATCCCCCCTCTTAGAGTTATTGTTCTAATACACTAGATTATTATTTTCCTGTGTATCTCTTAGCGCTATTATTCTACATAAGTATAGAAGTGCGCTTGTTGTGTTATAAGCGCCCCTTTCTCTATACCTTTCTAACTATACCGCCGACTCGTTCAGCCCGCCGTGTTTATGCCCTAGATTTAACTTTTAAGCGTCGTGCTTATTCTAATTATATAAAAGAGTAGAGTTACGAAATAACTTATCGTTATAAGCGTTGCGAGGAGAAGAACCTTTAGTGTTTTATAGATACTATAACTAGTCGTTATACTAAGTGTATTTCTGTTATAGCTGTTTATAGCCTATTCGTTTCTAAGAAAGAGTAGAAGAAAGTTTAGCGTAAGAAGCGTTAAAAACGTCTAAAGTTAGCGCGTATTAAGGAGAATACCGCGCGGGTTCGTCGGGAACTCCTAGAGGTTAAGGCGCGAGAGTAAGAATTCGCTAATTGAGATCTTACTATTCTAAATTTTTAAGATTAAGCGAAAGAGTAGGCTAAGGGGAGTTCTACTCTTAGTACGGGCTCTTCTATTATCGAATTATCGCTATCTAGACTATTAGCTGATTCTAGCTAGTTATAGGCTGATACCTCTTCTTTTAACTCTTTGTCTTTTAATTACTTCCTTTCTCTTAAGAACCTAGTTCTCGCTTCCTTAGATATCTTTAATAGTACTTACATATTAGTAACTTATAGTTCGTTAGATTTCTTTTAGGTTCCTAAGTATTATAGAACTTAGACTATCCTTACTACTTAACTAAGTACTTCTACTAACTATTAATTTTCTATAAGTCCTTAACTTTCTTAATCTTATACTTGTTAGCTTTAAGCTTTATATCTATTACTAGCTTAACGTTTTATGGTGCTAGTTCAAATAGTTTCTTATAGAAAATATTATATATACGTATGCCTAGTAGTAGCTATAGCTTATAATTTACTTTCCTAACTTCTTTTAGGATTTTAAACAGTCTTATTTAAAGGCTGTCTAGCTTTCTATATAGCCGTTTAGTCTTTAGGTTTTATCTTAATAAGAAGACTTCATCCCCCTTTTTAAAGCTTAGTCCCTTAATTCTTTACTTATTTATAGCTTTAGATCTTAAGAGCTTCCTATCAGCGATATTCTCACTTGATCTCTTATATAATTCTTATATTAGTTAAGCTTTATTATCTGCACTAATTGCGATACTTTTAATATTCTTTAAATCTCGATAAGTAGTCTGCTTATATCTATAGTTTGCGTAGTATGGTAACTACTTTATAGTTACTAACTTTATTCTATTACAGGCTAATTATACTATTAGTAAGAGTTTAACCTAGTTATCTTACAACTTAGTTGTATATATCTATAAGTGCTACTCTAATATTTAGTTTATTTATTCTATCTAGCCGTCTATTTCTAGGTAAAAGCTAGTTAATAACTTCTTCTTAATGCCTAATTTTACTAAGAACGTTAACTAATACTTTAACGTAAATAGGTTATCTCTATCTATAATGAATTCTTTAGGTATTCTATACTCTAATTCTAGTGCCTTAGAAACTTTATACGCGCATTCCTCTACTATAACTATTTCTTCTATTAGTAGGAACTTTATTCTTTTAGTTAATTAGTATACAATTACTAGAATAGTATTATAGAGTCGTCTAGAGCCTAGTTTAACTAATTTTAGAAGCTTTACTATAAAGTCTATCGTAATACTACTTTATAGTTATATTAGTGGTAGTAAGAGTTATAATAGGCTGTAGAGCTTATATCTCTTAGGCTTATTCTAGTAATATACTAAATAGTTACCTATTATTCCCTATACCTCCGCTCGTAAGCGCAGTATACTAAATACCTTATTTAGTTACTTAATTATTTCTTTTACATCTATATATCTATATTCTAGCGACTTATATAGTTCTCTTATAAGATCTAATCTTATATGCGAAAGTATATAGATTGTATTTTTACTTTAGAGTTCCTGTTTATCTAGTAGAAATCCAACAAGATCGTTTTCGCCTTCCTTATTAATCTAATTAGCGGCTTTCTGCTGCTATTATTATTATAGCGTTTCTACTTATTTAGCTATCTTATCTATCTTAGCTGTTTCTAGATAGTTATACTTAAGACAACTATTATATATCTTCTTAAGTACTATATCGTGTAGTTTTTTATATCCTTTTTCGTGTAGGTTAGATCTTTAGCTTAAAGCGTTTACTACTTTATTAAGTGATCCTACTTAATAAGTAATTTTAAAGTTGAACTAAGCTAATATTTTGGTTTATTAGACTTACTATTAATTAAGTTTCTTAGTTATTAAAAAACTCGCTAGGTTTTAGTAATTAGTAAAAACCTCGATCGTGTGTAGAAGTCCTAATAGGTATACTTCTTATTATTTAAGGGTATTAACTACTCTAAGTAGTTCCTTATTATAAACGTCGTAATTAAGTTCTACTTCTAAGAACTTTTGTAAATAGTACAATACTAGTCTCTATTTCTTATCTAAGTACTACTATAATAATACAGCTCTAACTACGTATTCTAAGATGTTAGTCTTAACCCTCGTTTCCTATATTAGGTCGTATATTTCTAGTATAGATACTTTAAGGAATATTTACTTAATACGATTAAAAGCCTCTTAATATTCCTTATTCTATTAAAACTTTACTTCTCTCTTCATAATCTCTAAGAGAGGCGTGGTAATTTTAGAGTAATCTTTAATAAACTTATACCAGTAGTTAGTAAATTCTAGAAAGAATTATATATTCTTAACTATTTTAGGGATTAGCTATTTCTATAAAGTCGCGATTTTCTTTAGATTTATATTAACTCTCTCTATTAAGATAATAAAGCCTAGTAATTCTATTTATTTAACGTAGACTTTATACGTTCCTAGCTATAGATATAGCTTATATTCTTTAAGCTTCCTAAGCACTTTCTTAATATATTTAATATGTTCTTCAAGCGATTCTCTAGAGTATACTAGTATATTATCTAGATACGCTATCGCGAAGATTCTAAGATATTTATAGAGTGCGCTATTAATAACTAATTAGAAGGTTACTAGCGTATTTATTAGTCTAAATAGTATAACTATATATTTATATAGTCTATATTTTATCTGAAATACTATGTTCTATTCATTTCCTTCCTTAATTCTTATTTAGTAAAATCTTTCCTAGATATTAAACTTTATAAACTACTTAGCCCTCTAGAGTTAGTTTATAAGCTGTTATATAAGTAGTAAGAGATATTAGTGTTTTTAAGTTACTACGTTTAACCTACGGTAGTTAATATATAGTCGCTACTTTCTATTAGGTTTCTTTATAAATAGTATAGATAAGGCTATTAGGCTATGTTCTAGTTAAATAAATCTCTTTTTTAAATTCTTTTAGAGGTATATTCCTTTAGCTTAACATCGTGCTTAGGCGATATAGAGTATATTCCTTCTAGCGTTAACTTTACTCCTTCTTTAAAGACGATCTTATAATCCTAGTCTTAGTATTTAGCTAAGTCTATAACCTTATTTTCTTTAGATAGTTCTCTAAACTTATTTATTCTATATTCTTTTAGTATATCTAATAGTACGTCTTTTAGCATATCTAGTAGTAAGAGTCTATTCTTCTTAGAAACGACGCGTCTTATCTATATAACTCCTATCTACTAAGAGTCCTTTATATAGATTCTCGCAATCTTATATAGTAAGATCTTACTAAATCTATCTTCCTAGGTTAAGCTCTAATTTGTTAGGCGTATCTTATATCTTACTCTAGCAACCTTACGCGCAGGTTCTTAGCTAAGTATTATTTTCTATTACTAATTAATTACTAAGTTATACTATCTTAACTTATTATAGCTAATTAATATATTATTTTCTCTAAGATCTATAATATCAATATTCCTAAAACTACGTATACTAGCTACTGTTAGTAGTATTAATTATATCTTAAATCTTATTATACCATTCCTATATATTAAAGAACTATTCTTAGCTAATACTATTCGTATTAGCTGTTTCTTAGCTTAATAAGGTATGTTGTGTTTCTCCACTATCTAGTGAGAAATTACTATTCTTCCAGTACTAATATCTATAGTCGCTATTAACCTATAATTAAGAATATTTACTAGAACTCTAAAACTTATATTTTCTCTATAGTCTTCTTATACTCTTCTAAGAGTCGTTTTAGAACTGCCTTTACTAGAGTGACCTTGTCCCTAATAGTATTCTAGTTTTTTAGTTAGAAAATTCGTTCTTTCTTAGACTTTTTCTATTTCTTAGGAAGATACTCTACTTTCGTTTTAGCTTCTACGTGAATTAGATAGGCGTCTCTATAGCATAAACTCTAATTTAAATACCTATGTGATAGCTTTTCTTCTATTTCGTCCACTCGTGCGGAGATATTTCTTAGTACACCTTATATAGTCTTTTAAATGTAATATCCCTAGTTAGCTTTTACATCTATATATATTAGATATTAGTCGTTAGTATAAAATGTCTAATAGATATTCTTATACGGGATTATCTCCTCTAGCGTCTCTGGTGAGATAGTTCGTCTTTTAGTTATTCTATGCTTCTTGCATTAGGTCGTTTAGCATTCTCTTACTATAATAGTGTAGTGTAAATAGTAATCTGCTTATCTTGCAATTATTTATTATTCTTAGTATTACTAGTATTTTTCTGTATAATTAATTGATAGTAAGCGCTTATGCGCTTTTTTATATTATTACTTATATACGTGGTAGTTAAGAATAGAGTAATCGTCTACCTAAATGTCTTCGTATATAGAATTATCCTCGTTAATTTTACATTATTTCTTAGCATCTATATTGTGTATATAAAACTCTAATTTATATCTAGTTTATAGAAGATGTTAATGAGTTTCCTATATATCTAATACTTTCTCTTCTTTATCTGCGTATAGGTAATAACCTAGGACCTTATAGTTCTCTAGTTTAAGGTAGCTATAGCAGCAGCTATCGTCATTATATTAGTAGTTCTTACGTTTCTTAGCGTAGTACTAGTAATACACTAAACTTATATAGTCGACCTAGTAAAGCTTCATATACTCTTTCTAGTTTTAGATTAGTAAGTAATTTTTAAAGTATAGTTGTAACTAATTTACTTACTTTAGCGTATTTACCGCCTTAGGTCCTATAATTATAATTTATCCTCCCCTAAGGATATAATTATTAGCGTAGTGTATAGCGTCTATATATACTTAGTATTAGTTATATATTAGTTAGTATTCTATGTCCTAGTTACTTAGTTTCTAGTTTAACTCTCTAGGCACTTCCTATTTTATTCCTTTATTCGTATGAATAATTTCCGGGATTACTACGTAATCTATACTTTCAGCTAAGTAGGCTTCTTCGTATAAATCTAGATTACTAAGCCTATTATTATTTAATTTCTCCGCTAGCATTAAGATAGTTAGCTACGCCTGTAGTATTCTAATCTTAACTACGGCTAACTTAACTTCATTCTTTAAGTAGTCTCTGCAGAAGTATCCTACTTCGCTGCATTAGAGATATACTTTATTATTATAATACTTCTTATATTCTTTTTAAGTAAGGACGTTCCAGCCCTTCTCTTAGAGTTTCTTTTTCTTAGATTTCTCTTATACTTTCCTAGTTATAATAGTATCACTATCTTTATTCTTATTACTCTAGTATTTCTTTATATTAGCTATTATAGGTTAGAAGTATTTCTTTCGCTATTCGCTCTTTTTCTATAGCCTATAATTAATACGTATAGCTAGCTTAATAAGATCGTGTAACGTTTCTAGTTTGTCGTAATATATAAGTCGATCCTTAATGTTTTCTTTAAGTTCTACTTTAACAGCTATTTAAAGCGATGAATTGTTCTGATGAATCTTAGCCTAGAGTTACTTAAATTCGGCCGTGTACGCGGATACTAACTTAGTTTGCCTTAGGCGAGTAATTACTCTCTCTACCTACTTCTTCTCGTCTACCTCTCTAAAGATACGTTCTAGTTCAGTCTTAAAATTATTCTAGTTCTTAAATAGTTCTTATATTTTAGACCTAGTTTCTTTATTATCTATATACTTTAGAAAATCCTTTACGTAAGGTTATATCTATGTATTAGCTTTATCTTTTATATACGTGCTAGTTACTAGAATCTTTTTCTAATCGTTAGGTACCTTATATAGGGGGGTGATAAATAAAAATGTAGTTAAAAAAGTAATAGATTTTAAAACATGATAACTCAGCTTATAGAGCACTTATATTTAACCGGATTAGTCCGTTGAAAACTAAATATTAAGTAGTATATAATGATTATATTACGTAATGCTTAGTAAGCTTATTCCTCGCTACAAAATATATTAAAGTTAGAGAGGTAATTTTTCTAGATTCTAGGTACATATTTCGCGCTGCTATTTTTAGATCTTATATAGTAATAAGTACTTTATATAGTTGGATTAGTAAGATATATAATATAAATAAAGACAGAGACATATTCTCTATTTATTTTTTAAGATAAAGAAATACGATGTTTGAAAACACGATTTTTCCTTTTATCTTCTAGCTACTAATTAATAATTTATATAGTAGCTACGTGCTTCAACTACTCTAGTGTATTAGTTTTCTATATATAGTATATAAGTATCTGTATCTCTTTATAGAATATTAGCCTACTCTTATTTAATTACGCTAATAAAAGTATTTATACTCTTATCTATAGAGCTAACGCTTAGAGACCTACTAGGTAGCTTAGTAAGCTGGTCCTTAAGTAAGCTCCATACGTTTTCTATTAGGTTAAGATCTAGGCTATATAGTGGATGCTTAAAAAGTTTTATATAGTTACGCTAAAACTACTCTAGAACGTTCTTAGCTATATACATCCTAGCGTTATCTTGCTGAAAACTCTAGCCTAAATAGTTTTTAATTAGCTCTATAATTTGATATACTTAGGTAGAAATATGTTATTAAATACTAAAGGAGAAAATAAATATATATTTGAAATAGATATATAAAACTTACCTCTCTTTATTGTTAGCTTTATATCAGGTATTAGACACCGCCTAATATAGTAGTAAAAGCGATAAGAAATAGTAGATTTTAGCGTTTTTATTACTACTATATCTAATCTCCTACCTCTCTAGATTGCGGCCTAAACTTAGATCGTTATATTATAACCTAGAACCTAACTAGTAAGCTAGATATAGATAAGATATATCTATATAATAATTATATATATCTAGTAGATATATTTTATATATATAGGAGTTTCTAAAACGTATTAGTAGTTTTACTAGAAACTAGAGTTATTCTACCTTTAGAATTACCGCGTTTTTAGCATATTTTAAGCGAGATCTATGCCTACGCTCAACGCTGCACTCGTCTAAGAATATAATCTTTTTAAAATTAATATTAGAAAGATCTTTTAATTATTTCTTAGCGTAGGATAGTCTTTCTCTAGCTCTAGACGTGTGTAACGTTAATTTTTTAAAGTAGATATTTACTATCTAGCCTTCTACTCTAAGAACTCTTTAAAGAGTTCTAGTAGAAACTAATAGATTATTCTCCTAGATTAATCTAGAATTTGTATTCTTTAGGCTCTTAGTTATATCCCTATTAATACCTCTTCTAGCCCTAGTAGAAAGCTTTAAAACCCGGCCTTTACTAGCTCTTTCTTACTTAATAATATTTTTCTTTTTTTTATTAATACGATAAATAGCGTTATAGATAGATCTTAGTTGCTTCTAAATGTAGATAGAAATGTTGTTAATAGCTATATTAGCGTTGATAAGCTAATTAACTTTAGCTTTAAATTTAGAAAGTTTTATATCTATCTAGAGAAAATACAGAGCTAAGAGACTCAGAATTAAAAGAGTAATATATATAATATTTTAACTATTTACTAAATAATGCACTAATTATATAAGTATAGGCTAAATACTAGATATATTAAGAATCTATTATATATATAGGCTAGAGTAGCTAAGACTATTATCACGTAATTTATATATCTACTACTACTATATATATACCTAATAGCTATATAGCTCTATCTACTATATAGTTCTAATAGTTCGAAATTTTTTAAAGATTTTCTAAGTATTTAAGGTATTATAGATCTACTTAAAGCTATAGTAGAATATTACGTGATACTTATGTAAAAGACTAGAAGATGTTAGCTTTAAAACGCAATAAACATTATATCTTTAGCTACTATAGCTGCTTAATAATTATCTTTTAAAAATATTTACGTTTTTTTACTAGGTTTTTTTTGTCATCCCACTGTATATCATTTAGTAATATTACTCTTTTCTACTATTAGACCCTACTAATTCGTAGATTAGCTTATGCCTTCGTTCTTTCCGTAGTATTTAAATTAAAATACCTTCGACTTCTAGTTAATCTATTAGTTATATTTTCTAAGCTATAGAAGTCCTAAAATAATATCATAAGTAGCTAGTCTAATAACGTCTACATTAATCTTCTCTATATATTTCTAGATACTACGTTTTACTTATCTAACATTATATATAATATTACTTTCTTTTAGTATTAGTTCACTGTTAACTACGTATAGTAGGTATAGCTATTATTACTATCATTTTTTAAGTCTAGCTTAGCCTACTACGTGCGCTAAAATATAGTTTACCTATAATTTTGAGTCTACTAGTACCTATATTTATTTTCTATTAAGCTCTATGAAGAGCCTTATTAATTCTAGGGGTTCTAGTACGTTGATTTCTCTAGTAGGGCCTTATTACTCTATTATTAGCCTAAAAAAGACTCATCTTATTAGTATCTATAGTAGTTTTTTACTACTATATATTTTTTATATTTATAGCTAAAGTATATATATTATTAGTCTGCTATAGATTCTAATAAGAGGCCATCTAAGTACTATACTTTGTATATAGTCTATATCTAAACAATACTTTAAGAGTCTATTTTACTAAGAAAGTATATTTTCTTACGCTTATTCTATAAATATACTAGGTAGCTATTATTCTTATATTTATCCTATAGCTATTTACACTTAGATATACTTTTAACTTATTATAAGCTTTATCTAGCTTCTCTCTTATCTAAGTAGTAAGTAAGCTAGTAGTTATATGTATACGCGGTCTATAATATACTTACGTAGTATTTATTTCTTACGTTAAACTAGTACTATATAAGTTCGTAGAAGTTATTCCATTATTATATCTTCTATACTTATATTTTCTCTTAGAGCGTAAGTCTCTATTCTAGCCTTTTAATATTTACTATTATATATACTTATATAAATAGGTATTATTTTATCTTAATTTAGTAAAAGTTAATATCTAAGCGTAGGTACTATAGCTATTAATACATATCTAGTAACACTTTATTACTATTATCCTTATAGGCGTAGGTCTTACTTAAGTAGCTAAGTAGTATAGATAGTACGTTAATCCACTTTTATACTTCTACTAGGTTATCTTGTTAGGTCTTAGATAATCCTAGTATTACACTATCTTACCTCTTTACGTAGAGTATAGATAGTCTATTTTTCTCTTAAAAGCGTACTATCTTTTTATATTTAAAGGTAAGAGGTTATTTCTTCTTCAATATCTTATATTCCTTCTTACTCACTAGTTTAGCTTTAGATATATCTTTAGACGTAGTTAGAGTTAGCTTATCTAATCTACTAATAACTTCTATATTATCTAAGTAGTATATAATATCTAGCGAGGTTATAATATTCTATCACTTATTATTATCTAATTTCAATGTCTAGTATAGGACTTTAAGCTATTATATAACTTGATTCTTACTCTAATAGTTATATACTATATAGCCTTCTTTACTATCTATTTAGTTATTAATCTTTTTCTTATTATCCTTGTTCTTTTTACAATAAAGTTTACCAAGTTCTTTTCTCTTATTTAAATTATTAAGGTATATAAGTTAATACCTATTAGTTATATATACGCTAAGTATTCTAAGCTAATAGCTTCTCTATCGCCTTTAGTTAGCCTATAAAAGCTAGTAATACTATTATTATAGCTACTCGTTCTTATTATTATAGTTTCGCGTTCTTTAATTAAATAGTTATTCTTCTAATATAAGCTTATAGAGTTTAATATTAAGCCTAATAGCTTCTTCTATAAGTTTATTAATGTTAGTAATATTAGCTCTACTGCTTATAAGTTCTCTATATACTATAGATTTTAGGCCTTAGTAGTACATACGCATAAGAGCGTTATTATCCTATTTAAAATATATAGTATACTACTAAAATTAAGTAGTATTATTAGTAGTAGACTAAGGTCAGCGTAGAGTCTGGATTTTCTATTTCGAGATGAGAGATTCCTTAAAAAGTAAGACGTTTTATCGTATCTTAGCCTTAAAAGCCTCCTAGTCTTTAACTAGCGAGTATTATTAGTATTAATAATAGATTTATCTATATAACGTTTAATAATAGAATTCGACTATTTTTCTATGTTACCTTAGTAGTAACTAGTAGCTAAGATAATCTTATTATTATATTCAATCTTATCTCTAGCTTAGTAGGAGTACTAGTCGACCTAACAAAGCTAAGCTTTAAGCTTATTATAATCGCTATAGTAAAAGTTGGACTTATAAGCGTTGATTATAGTTCTTTTAGTCTAGAAAGTAGTTAGAGTGTCTATTATAGTATTACTTATTATAAGAGTGTTTAAAGTATTAAGAGTATAGCTTAAGTAGAAGTAATATTAGACTTCTAGTATAAAGCTTCTTATTAGTTAGTTTTCGCAGAAAGAGAGATAATATACGCTAAATAGTAACTTAGATAAGTATAATGTTTATATTATACTTAAACTCATAACTTAAGTGTAATATATTAAGCTATAAGAGCTTAATACCTAATACTATATACTAGAGCTTTATGCAATATACTTAGTTACTTAGTAGTACTAAGATATACTAAGTACTAAGTATCTTACAGGCGATATACGGAGTACTCAGTTACTTAGTAGTACTAAGGTATACTAATTACTAAGTATCTTATAGATTAGGTGATACGCTAGTTCTAAATAAGTGTCTCTGTTTCTTACTGTGGATTCGCCGTCTTATGGATTATTCGTTAAATAAATTTAATAGTAAAATATTCTCTATATTCTAAGGCTAATCGTAAAATATAGTTACTAGAGTAATTAATTATTAAATTACTTTTATCTTATTTTTATCTATCGATAGGCTCTTTTCTACTTAGATAATAAACCTAATATATTTTATACGTTAGATATTAATTTTGTACTTCTTTAGCCGTAGCTATAAATGTATACCTCAAAGACTCCTTATAGCTTAGAGATACATTATAGCTTAAATATACTTTATAGTATATTATATATATTTTTAGTAATATTTCTTTAATCTATCTATATAGATAAGAATATTATTAAAGTAAATAGATATAAATTCGTCTAGAAAGCTCTAAAGTACGTAGTTAATATATCTTTAATATATAATTGGTATATTCCTAGGTCTAATAAGGGTTACTAGCTACTTATGTAATATTCATCACGTTTACATTGTATTTATCTATTCTTGTTCTTATTAACTATAGGTATAGTAAAAAACTTCCATAATATTAATCCTTATATAATACTCTACTTATCTAACTTCGTTTAGTGTTTCGCGGATAAGTAAAAGAGAGTAGTAGCCCTTATAGCTTATTATATCTAAAGCTTAAAAGTTTATAACGGGTTAGATAAGCGAGTGAGCTAGGTAAGCGAGTAAGCTACCCTACTAACTTTACGCACCTATATAAGCGCGCAGCTCCACTACATTATAATAATATAGATATATAGCAATATAGCAAACTAAGTAGTATCTATAGTGTTATTTTTACATATACGCGAATTATAGCTAGTCTCTCTACACTTACTATAGCGCGTAAGAACCTAGCGGCTGATATCTAATTACTCTCTTCTCTAATACTCTTTATAAGTAATATACTTATTAGCATTACGGTAAGTAATAATGTCCTCGCTAGCTCCCTTTATAAGCACTTCTTACTTCTATATCCGCTTTTATTTACACTATCTACGCTTTATAGCTGCTTTATTAGGTTGTTTAAGGCTAGTAATTTAATTACGCATTAGCTTAGCTAAAAGTATTATTACTTCTACCCCCTTCCTAAGCTAGTTAATTACTTTAATAACTAAATTTAGTAATAAGTCTTAATACCGCTAAACGCGATCACGTATTAACGTTAATTAAGCTTTAAGCTTACGTATATTACTAGGGGTATAAGCCTACTACTAAGCCTTTAGAATAGATAGTAGAGTAGGCGTACGGAGCTTTATATTAAGCTTTAATAGAATAGTATCTAGCTAGAGAGAAATAAGGTCTACGCTGTAGAAGGCAGAGCAGATATTAGCTAGCGTAAAGAATTAATTAAACGCCATCTTAAACGCTAGTAGAAACTTAAGCTTAGTAATATTATTAATATTATAGTAGATTCGACTCTCTACTTCATAGCTATACGCGCGCTTTAATAACGAGAAGGAGCTCATATTAAAAGGCTAAAGTAGATAAGATAAGTAAAGTAGTATATAGAGCGTATAGATATTATTCTCCTTATAGAGCTCTTAGAACTTTAGTAACTAGTAGCTCTTATAGCTATTAAGAATAAGCAGCTAACGTGCCTTAATAACCTTACTATCTATATACTTCATAAAGTGCTTTAACTACTTAACTCTTAGCTTATTAGTCGTCTAGCTATTATTACTAACTATAATCGCCTAGTTACGTAGGATCTCTACCTTCTTATACTTAGTAAATAGGTAATACTTACTAGTAAAGATTAGAAATAGTAGGATAGACTAGCTAGCTATGTTAATTCTAGTAATGAATACTACCTACTAACGACTACTTAGCTAGAGAGCCTTTAGTTGCGCTCTTCTTTCTAACGCTTTAATAATAAGCTAAGTAGTAATTCTACCTATAATAAAGCTAGCTTTATTAAAGTTATAAACGTCCTTATTATAAATACTATACTTAGCGTTTTTCTGCTTTATAAGCTTAACCTAGTTCTTAATTAGGACTATATCTTTATATAGAGCTCTCTACCTATTATACGTTTAATTAAAACGTATTATAAGACTATCTATACGCTTAATAAAGTTAGCTAGCTACTCCAATCTAACCTAACTAGCGCCGCGCGAAGCTAGTAGCTTATTAGCTATATCGCGTATAGTAGCGTACATAGGCGTGAATCTACGTAAATTAAGATTAAATATATAATTAACTATTACCTTCTCTTCTAGCTTAGTAAGCTTCTTTAAGTTATGCTAGTAATTACGTCAGGTAGAGTAACTAGCGTGTCAGCGGTAGAGTATAGCTCGCGAGAAATTAAATGTCTTAGTAGCGTCCCACTTAGTTTAAATTCACTTTATATTAAGAGCTAAAATTGTAAGATATATATTAGCCTTATAAGAGACTTTAGGGGCGTATTAGGGGGATACTATAGTTAGTTAAAGTTAAGGCGTAGTGTAAAGTTGGTGGGGTAGCTCACTCGCTTACCTAGCTTACTCGCTTATCTAACTCGTTATACAATCATAGCTGTTCTCTAGATTCTATTATATATTTAATAAATAAAACTATAGAAGTGGTACTTAGATAAATAAGCCTCTTAATAACAAATTTTTATGACATTTTTTATAGTATAAGAAGATTATCTCTTAGTATACTATAGAGTAGTCTATAATAAACTCTAAGTATTTTTATATTCTAATTAGATATAAGTTTAATTTAGTAGTTTACCTTTATGTCACTAAGAAAGAGTAATTATCTTTTTAGCGTAAATAGCTCTACGTACGGCTACATATGGATAAAGAGCTACCAATTCATCTCTTCTTTTTTTTACAGCGTTTTTAAACGTAAGATTTTTATAATATTTTGAAGTTTTATAGTTGATACTTATATAGCTAACTACTTCTAAATTTATTATATATAGTACTTAAAGGCGGCCGTAGAGACTATAAGAGGGTTTATTTCTTATATATAGAATTGAAAACTTAGTATTAGGATTCTATAGTGGTAAATGTAAAAGTATTATTATAGCGTATTAAATACACTAAATACGTCTTTAAGCTAGGTCTTTTCTAGAATTATATTATACTCCGATATAGACAGAATAATATTAGTAGCTACTTATTATTGTATTTCTTTTATATAGATCATAAACTTGGTAATAGCTTATATAAAGCTCTTTTATATACTAAGGTAAATAACTATATAAGGTTATATTAGTATACGTAGTAAGTTAAGCTCTTAGATAATAACCTTTTTAACTATAGTGTATATAAAACAGCTGTTATTAAATAAAGTGTTAGTATTTCCTATACTATTTATAATAATGTCTATAGATATAGATAAAGTAGCGTTTAGTTATAATAAGTGACTAAGAATTAGGCGTAAGAACTTCTTAACTTACTTCTATAGCACTAGCTAGCGTTTTAGACTGAATCTTTTCTTTTTTCGTATTAGATCTATTTCTTACTATAGTAGCTACGATTATCTTGATAGTAAGTATTGAGTTTCTTATACATTTAAGTACTATAGCTTTTTAGATTATATAAAATTAACTTAAAGAGTATAGTAGAGGTATCTACTCACGTTCTTTTAATCTCTCGTTTTAGTTCTTATATTCTAATATTAATATCTTTTATAAGAGACATAATCGACTATAATAGGACTTTAATCTATTATGTTATTAGTTAAAAAGAAAAGCTTAGAGTAAATTATTACGTTGTATAAAAGCTAGTCTACTACTTTTTAGTTTTTCTAAGTAACGCGTATCCTAGTTAAAAGGTCCTTGAAAGACTTACTGACTAGAGATTTATAGCTAGCATAGTAGCGGAGTAGCTTTCTATTAAGTAAGTTCTTTAGGAATTTCATTTCAGGCGCGTTATAAAGAGAGCTTAGTCCTACTTTATAAAACTTTAATTTAGATACTTATATGTAAGAGAGAAACGCTCCTTTACTTTACTTTGTCTTATGAACATACAGTAGGGTGATAAAAAAAAACGTAGTTAAATAGGTGATAGGTTGTATAAGATAATTAATCAGCTTATAGACTACATATAATTAATAAGCTTATAGAGTACATATAGTTAAATATACTAGTCTATTAAAAAGCAGAGAATGAGTAGTTTATAATAACTATATTACGTAAAACTTCGTAGGTTTGTTCTCCGCTGAGAATTGTATTAAAATTAAAGAAGTGACTTTTCTAGATTCTAGCCAGATATCTCGCGCTGCTCTTTTTAGACTATATACAGTAACAAGTCCTATATCTAGTAATATTTAGTACTATATGTATTATATATTAAGATATAGATGTATTATCTATCTAGTTTTCAAGATATAGAAATACTATATCCTTAAGTAAGATTTTTTTATTATGTTCTAGCTACAAACTAATATTTTATATACTAGCTACTTGCTTCTACAACTCTAGTATATTAGTCTTTTAAAGATAAGATATGCTAGAATAAGGAGGGTGCTACTTATTCTATAGCTAGCTTAGAGGTAGAGTCGACTACCTATATAGCGATAGACTTAGAGATAGTAAATTAATAGGGTCTAGAGTGAAAAGAAAGAAATGCTAGGGGAGAGAGATTAAAGAGTTAGATTAATCTAATTTTCTCTTATGTTCTGCTCTAGCTTCTATCTACTAGCTATTCTACTACAATATATATTAGCTGTACTAAACTTTAGATAATTCTATCTAGTAGTAGATTACGTAGCTATAGACGTAATAGATAGATAAATTATTTAAGGATTAGTAGACTGAAGAATCTAAGTATCGTGCCTAGCACCTGGACTATATTAGAGATTAACTAATCAGCTTTCATCTCTAACAAGCTATAATTATATGTATCTTCTTATAGAATATTAGCCTACTCTTATTTAATTATGCTAATAAATGTATTTAAACACTAGTATATAGAGCAAACGCTGAAAGGTCCACTTGGTGGTTTAGTAAGCTAGTCCTTAAATAAGCTCTTTATGTTTTCTATTAGGTTAAAATCTAGGCGATATAGTAGAAACTTTAGATGTCTAATATAGTTACGCAAAAACTACCCTAGAACGTTCTTAGCTATAAGAATCTTAGCGTTATGCTACTAGAACCTCCAGTCTTAATAGTTTCATATTAGGTCTTTATTTCAACATACTTAGCTAATAATGCCGAGATAGATATTAAAAGAAAAATATTAATACAATCAAAGATTTTATTTAAAATTTACCTCCATTTATTTGAAGTTTTATAAAAGAAATTTATCGCCCCTTTATATAGAAATATAGTTTGATAAGAAATAGAAGATGATACCGTTTGTATTACTACTTTGTTGAATCTTCTTTCTCTCTTAGTTGTAGCATAAACTCACATAGTTATATTATAACCTAGAACTTACTTAGTAAGCTAGATAGAGGCAAGATACATATATATAGATTTTTTAAACGTACTATTAGTTTTACTAAATACTATAGTTCTTCTACCTTTATAATTACCGCGTTTTCTAGTATATCCTAAACAAGATTTATAACTACGCTTTAAACTATACTTATCTAAGAATATAATCTTATAAAGATTAATATTAGTAAGATCTTTTAGTTATTTCTTAGCGAAGACGTGTCTTTCTCTAGCTCTAGACGCATTTAACATTGGTTTTTTAGAGTAGACATTTACTGTCTAGCCTTCTACTCTAAGAAATCTTTAAAAAGTTCCCGGAGAACTTTCTAAATTATTTTAACGGATTAATAAAGATGTTATCTTCTTTAGGCTCTTAATTGTATCTCTATTAAAAACCCTTTCAGTCCTAGTATAAAGCTTTAAAACCTGGCCTTTATTTGCTCTTTCTTGCTTAGTAATATATTTTATTATCATGTAATACGTGTAATAGCGTTGTTAATAGATCTAAGAGACTTCTAAAGTTATATTAAAAGATTTTAGTCTCTATATTAGCGTTTATAAGCTGATTAACTTCAGCTTAAAATTAAGAATGGTTTAGATTTATCAAGAGTAAATAAACCTCTAAGAAACTAAAGCCTGAAAGAATAATATTTATATTATATTCTATCTAATTGTAAACTTATATACCGCTTATATAATTATAGACTATGGAATAGATGTATTAAGAATCTATTATATATGAAGGCTAGAGTAGCTAATACTAATATTATGTAATATATATCTACTACTACTATATTGATCTGACTATAAGCTATATAGCTATATCTACTCTAGATTTCTAAAAGCTCGCAATTGTTTTACACTTTTCTAAGTATTTAAGTTATTATATATTTTATCTAAAGCCGTCAATAGATAACACATGATATTAATGAAAATTACAAAAAGATTTTGGCTTTAAAACTCACTAACTTTTTTATTTAGAGATACTCTAGCTGCTAACTAATGACCTTTTGAAAATGATAAATGTCTTTACTACGTTGTTGTTACTATCATACTGTAAAATGGAGATCTTTACTTAATGATTGAATCTTAAAAGTATCTATCTAGTATAGCTTAAAGAACCTTTAGCAATAATTCTTTTTGTTTATCTATTACTACTATAACGTAACCTCAAAGAGTAGTAAAGACTTATTCTTCTATATAAGTAATTATATAGTATACTTAGTAATTTATAACAGAGTACGTAAAGTAGTCCGTACAGAGTTCCGCTTATTTAAAGGTTTTCTATTAAAAGTATTCTCTATATATTCTCTTATTCAAGACTACTATTTCTAGAAACTCCACCTTTTTAAATCTTTATAAAGCTAGTTTAGCGGTAAGCGTAAGGTTGAATCTAAGTTACTAACTACTTTTACTTAAAGTTATCGTAGGTGTATATAAGTTACAAACTAGTAGCTAGCCTTTAATCGTACGAAGAAGGTTTTTCATTTATTTAAATTTCCAACATATATTCTAAGCTTATTAAAACTTTATTACAAATTTGTTAAGAACTTATTATTACTACCTGTATCAAGACAGAAGGTCTTCGTACGAAGATTGTATATAGATTTAGCCATTTAGCCCATCGTTTTACATTAAATATTTAGAGTCTATCATAGTATTTATTATGATTTACTCCTAGGTATGCGTATTATATTTATAGAAAACATTATTGATTCTTCATTCTCGTACGAAGAAGAGAGAAAAATGATAATCTTTCTTTTTAAATTATAGGGAAAGTGGCTATCGAACAAGTTTATATTAGCTTATTTTATACAAGAAGAATGATAAGAAGAATTAAGTCATTATATAATACCTCTCTTCTAATAC